TCAGAATATATAAAATGATATGAGGCGAGTAGGAGAAATAGAGCATGTAGTTACTTTAAAATGAAGAATTCTATTTAGCAAAAGAAAATTGAGGAATGTTGTAGAGCTTGTTGAAAGGATTCTGTGGATATAAAGATCGTCGAAAATTGAGTTCGTATGAGAAAGTTATGGCCATTTGAAGTTGAGATGAAAGTACGTTGCCATTTCGAGAAAAGTCAACAGAAATCAAAGTCAATGGTCCACTTTTGACAACCACGGTGTGGAGGTATATTTGCCACAACATGGCAATGAGTGAAACACTGTGACACGTGTCAACCGGACAACGACACGTGACAATTTGATTCCTACGACGTGGCACAAGTCGAGTCACCGAGACACGTGACGGGAGGGGTGGACATGTGGAAAAAAATAGAGTCTATTGATCACCACGACGTGGTGAGTATATGGACACGACGTAGCAATGCCCAAAGTATAAATATAAGTTTTTCGTGTCATTTGCACGAGAGTTTGGCATACGCGACCGAAGATGCTGCTCGGGAGTTGTTCTCGGGAGATTTTCGCAGAAGAGATATACCATTATACAAGTGATACAAGGTCGAGTACGAGATTCGTTAAGGTATATTTTACCCCGTTAATTTGTAATTCCGATATATGATAATTTATAAGATTTAATAGATCCGAGTATTTTACGGGAATTCATGATATGGTGTTGTTACGATCCCGTTGGTAAGATTTAGTCGATACTATGAGGGTTATAAACCCTAATATTTTAGGAATACGTGTTATGAAAGATTTAGCTAATGGCTTACGAGTTAATCCTATTATGATTATATTATGAGATTTGATTAGTTTAGTGACAAGAGGTCCCAAAGGGTAGCTAGTAGCGAGTTATGACAAGTTTTGAGAAACTTGTTATTTGATGATTAGGTTCTACCATATGACCAGCTGATAGGCAATGAAGGATTGAAACCAAAATTGGAAATAGTCTGCTAACTAACTTGGTGAGAAATTAAATTTTTAGGGTGTACATGGTATGAAAATCTGGGCCGTACAAGTTGGTATCAGAGTCGTGGTTTAAGTGAATTAGGTTCTTATAGTAGATTCCTAATCTTAAGCCATAGAGTATAAATGATAATTGATCTGATATGATAATTATGAGTTAGATATATTAATTAATGCTTTGGGAATTTCAAGATAAACAAATAAATATATTATTATTTTCCTATAAATTATGTTGTGATGTATTGCAGAGAGAGTTGTGGAGTATGATTGCGAGACAAAGATATATGTGTTTGGTTCCTTTAGCTGACTATCTAGAGACAAACATAATTCACTTGGGGAATGAATGAATGAAATATATGGTAGTATGGTAATAGATATATTCATTCTCTTATTGATAAAACATAATTGTTTTCGAATGTTCTTATTACATTGTCATGTTGGTATGATTATAAATATATTATGAAGTAGGGAAATAATTTTACATGCAGATGGAACATTAGACATAAATGTTGTATTCTTTTTTTTTTTGTAGTTTTGGTATAATATAAAGTAACACTCGACTTATCATTATATAGTATTGTTGTTTCTATGACATTACAGTATAACTGAGTATCCTTTTGTTAGTATTAAAGTACACCAATTTGTATGAATGATGTTTTGAAAATGAAAATTATTTATGCATACTTTGTATTGATATTGGATTGTTACAAGTTAAAGTTGATATGGAAGTCGTAGGTTAAGAGAAATATGTATATCCTATGTGTGAGAAGTTTTCCCTGGAAATCCCCTTGTGGGCTGAGTTTGCCCTATAAAGGAGCTCGAACTCGGGATCACAATTGAAATATTGTGGTAAGGCTTCCGCTGAATCGTTTTCCATTTCCAAAAAAATAAAAGTATGCATATGAAGGTTGATTCTTAGACTTAAATTGTCATGAGGTAAGGAGGAATAATAGTTGACTAGACCTTTTTAGTCGTAGATTAGCCAACTATTAGACACATCCTAAAAATAAATAAGTGGCTACTGGTGTAATATGGTATGTAAATGAAAAGTATACATGTTTTGTTTTAGAAAACAGGTTGTAAATATGAGAAAACTTTAACAAAAATTGTGGAATTATGGGAGGAAAAAGAGTGCAACGATTATGCTCCAAGTTTACATGTTTAAAGAAACGTGTAGCCTTGAAGGGTCTAAGAAGAAAGAGACAAACATAAAGATGAACTGATGTTTCAAGAGGTTTGACCTTTTGTTGGGGTGCAAACCCAATCCCACATTGATAAAATAAGAAAGTACATGCTAACATATAAGGCAATGGATAATCCCTTCTATCACTAATTGGTTTTACAAAATAGAACCTCATTGTTCTTCTATGTTGGTATTGTTGGACTAGTAGCGTTCCTAACAAGTGGTATTAGAGCTATGGTCGTAGTCCAAATAATATGGTCGGCGCAGGTGGCAGAATCCCCAGTAATTCCCGGTCCAACGAAGTTGATCCTGAAGCCTTGTATCGAAAGTCTTCCTGATGACCCAGGTCAGGTGAGCGTGTCCCGAGAGTGTCAGCGGTATGAAAAAGTATTGGATCTGATGAACAGTCGTTGAGGGGAGGCCAAGGGCGGAACTTGGGTTTGAGGCGAGGATTGTTGGGGTGCAAACCCAATCCTACATTGGTAAAATTTACAATGAGTAATCCCTTCTATCACCAATTGGTTTTTAGAAAATGGAACCTCATTGTTTTTCTATGTATCACCAATTGGTTTTAGAAAATGGAACCTCATTGTTCTTCTATGTTGGTATCGTTGCTCTAGTAGCGATCCTAACACCTTTAACATTTTCTAAAGTAATAAAAGGGTAGTGAAGACCCCTTGTGATGGCATTAAAAAGGTTGATGGGTTCCGGAAGGGGATTCAATACATTTCATTCATATTAACCATGAGAAGGCATATATATGATACATGTATAAGATGTGTATCTAGATTGGCTGACAGTTGAGTGTCTTAGTTGATAACAACACAAGTATGATATATATTTGATATATATCTAGTAAACTTTACCACCAAGAGGATCCCAATTAGAAATGGGTGTGAATTTCGAGGCTAGTATGGACTTTTTATGTTTATTATATGGAATGTGAGATTTCCTTGGGATACCAATTTGACCGATTTTCTTATCATGTTTGTATCTATTTTAGTTTTTGTTCTGACATGATGCTTAATCAATTTAGATTCTTATATAAGTTTTTAATAAAACATAAAATGAAAAATGACATTGTCATGAGAATGATAGATGTAATTTCACATAGCACGAACCATTCTCTAAGAATGAGAATCACATTCCAATTGATCTCCTTATCATTCTTATCATTATGGAGTATCATTCCAGTCGATCTTCTTATTGTTCTTATCATTCTATGAGAATGAAGAATAAAACTGAAATCATATTTGAGAATGTATATCTTTGAGACTTAATTATTTTGGTGCTAATATAATTCTAGAAAGCATAAAAGACATTCTTAAGAGAATAAGAGAGATTATTGAAAGAATAAGACATAAATTAAATGTATAGAACTTGCATTCTCATCATTCTCATCATTGAAAGAATAAGAGACATTCTTGAAAGAATAAAATAGGAGTTACAAGTGCAAAACCGATATTTAAAGAATAAGACATTCTTGATAATTCTCATCATTTTTCCCTTTCGATACTGATGCATATGTGTCTTCTACAACAACAACAAACAAATTGCAACCCCTCCCTATTTTTTAATGAATACTAGGTAAGCCTCAAGTAAGATGGAGACCCACCACTTCATTATTTCTAATAAACCAATAGGTCTGGAAAAGAGAATAACCATGAATAGGGTATGAGTGTTTAGTTTGAGTTAAAGATGAAAATAAAAAATAAAGAACATATTCTTAACCTCCTTCATTATAATCAACATGAAACTCAAGTTTAACTTTTGAAGTTTCTGATTTTCGCAAAATTTCATCTTCTTGCTCGTTAGCGTTGTACTCAACAATTGTTACTTGATCTTCCGTTACAATTATTCACCGATCATTATTGTTGATTTGACATTTAATTCGACATACGAGTTTGGTAATATATATGAGCCTAACGATATGATGGAGAAGGAATTAATTGCCCATGATCTTCATATAACCGATAAACTCAATTTTTTCAAAATTCCTTAATTAACTGTTTTTATTTTAGGTTATTAGAATAATATTATACAATTTCCTATGTGTATATATATTTCTCCTAGAAATAGACAACTATAATACCAATATGATATCTAGGGCATGATATATATGTTGAATTTAATTAAGAGAAACTAAATATTCTTTCTATTTTTTGTTAATTTCTAGTTATCTTCCTACTTAATAGGAAGCGACACTCGTTGTATCCTTATATTGCTTAAGAAAGAGATGCTACAGTACCAATTTGATAGATTAAAATGATGTTAAAACAAAACACAATGGTTGGCCATTTTTTGGGATCTCTCCTAAGAACCCTACAAAACTAGTATTGAATTATTATTATTATTATTATTATTATTATTATTATTATATACTTTTTCTTTTTTTGCATCTCCCTACTAATCCCTTATTATTACACTTGTTATTATTATTTAAGTATTTCTATAGGGAATAATCCCATATTATTAAAATCTAAATATTATATTGGAGAGAGGCCCACACAAGTCTAAGTGATATTGGTCCATATAAAATCCGAAGGCATTTAATATTACACTTGTTACAAATCTTGAAGATTTTGAGATATAAAGGTTATATCCACTTGTATGATAAGAATGGTTTTGCTTCGTATCATGAGATTGGTTTTGCTGAAAACCTAAAGTAAGAACAGTCTTTACAAAATTTCTATTTTCTCCATTCAAAGACAAAAACAAGTCTGAGGAAAAACGTTAAGAATCATGTAATTAATTTATAACAATGAACCAAAATAGCTTAGCAAAAATACAATTATAAACATTAAAAAATGTGTTGTTAGTTATTATCATGACAGAAATGGAAACAAGTAGGAAGCAAGCACAACTTACTTTCAGGCACCACAAACGACTTGAAACTCCCCATACCACCAAAAAATTGAAACCTAAAAATGGAGCCTTCGACCATATTGTGGTTGCGTGTTATGTTATATATGCATGGTTAGACATAAAATCATTTGTTTATGCCCTAAAATCTCGTACACTGTGCAAAGCACAGTTTATATAACTAAAGGTGATGCTCAGGAAAACGAGTACACATATATACGAACAGATTTTCAGAGAGAAAATCGAAGTAACATACAAAACGATGAAAGTCACCTGTTAGCAGTACGGCCTTTGCAGAATTCATATAGCTTGCCGCGGGCGGAGAATACGATGACGGCGACATCGACGTCGCAGAGCCCGGAAAGCTGTCGTGCTTTCTCAATTAAACCTGTTCTCCGCTTCGAAAACGTCACTAGCCTGCTACTCTTATCTTCGATCCGCTTTATTTCGAGCTTCCTCCGCCCCATTGTTTCTCTCTCGGCGAGGCGAAGTTTCTAGACCTAATTTCCGTCGACTTCTCTCCTTATATCTATCGTCTATAAATATCTCATATGTGTTGAGTGCTAACTAATCGCGTGTGTTTAACGGAGGAAGCATAGACCAGTAAAGTATGACGATGACTGCTACAACTTCTGATTTAAATAAATATTTTCATAATTCTATTTTGTCGTTTAATGTCGGCAAGGAAATACCATTAATTGTGTGATCATGATGCACCTTTCCTTTTATTCAACATTATTTTCTATTTGTCTAGTTTTTCAACGGCTTCGATCTATAAGGCTATCCGTTATAACCATCACTAACCATTATAGTGGTAGGTGTCATATCATCACTACTAATTACCACTAAAAGTTTGGGATACTCAACACTATATCCCTTTTATTTTTTTATTATTAAAATAATATATATATTTTAATTAATTAAATTGTAGAGAGAGGTGGAGAAAGGTAGAGAGAGATAGAGAGAAATAGAGAGAGAAGCAAGTTTATTGGTTGTGATGTTCCGTTCTTCCCACCACAGATGACAACGAAATAGCTCCACCACTAAAACCTTGGGATGGTGTTCACATCCGTGGTTAGTGGCCATGTAGATTACGAACCCTCTCGTGATGAGCATATCAGAAGGCCTAAGGCGAATCAGTATACTCTCGTGGTCAGTTGGTCGCAACTGTGGTTTGTGCACATTAGTTCGAACCATCGTGGTTCTCTGTGCTCGTGGTCTTCAGACATCACGAATCGAAACGACCAATAGCATTTCTTCCTAATTCTTTTGTGAGTAACGGCTGTGAACGGCTAGTGCTTTTTTTTTAACCTTCCAAACACTCTTAAAAATCTTCTATAAATACCACAACTATTCTTTCATTTTACTTACACAATTCCTCTCTCATTTTATTCATAATCACACACTTGTTTTGTTTGATCATTCAAAATCAATGGCGCCTAAAATGATGAATTTGTCAGAAAATAAAGAATAGCACTTAACACTAGCTAGAGGTGTTGATCGGATAAATTTTTCGGGTTTCGGATAATTCGAGTTTTTCATGTTAAAAAAATTACCCGTTACCCGACCCAAATTAAATTCGGGTAATTCGGGTTTGGGTAATTCGGGTATTACCTGATTTTTTTTTTGTTTTTTTTTTTAATTTTTTTTTGAATGGCGTCGAAAAATAAATTTAATGAAATAAATATGTCGTGCTCAAACTTTAAACATTGAGATTTTTTAGTCAACAATATTTGAGATATCAAGTATTCGTTTAACAATTTAATCAAATCCAATAAGAATAATAAAAGGAAAATGATATGAATGAAAAAGGTTAAAAAAATTAATATAAATATGAAGTTTGATCACAAATCTATATAAATAATATTATTTGTGACAATGAAAACAAATAAACGAGTTATCAAAATAAGTTCATCATAGGAGATTTGAAACATAATATGTGAAAATTTCATTAAAGAAAAAAAGGGAGCTCATTTGTATGTCTAATAACCTTTGAGGTGAAAAAAAACTTTGTTCTCAATTGATTTGGAAATAACGAGGAAAGAAATATGTCATTTGGACGACTTGTCATTCTTCCATGTATATACACCATAATTTTGACCCAAAACCCTACATAATTTAATTTTACAGACATGCAATATATGATCCAAAGCGCAACTATTTAACATAGAAAACGATAGAAAGCAAATCACGAGATTCAAGCTGAAAGTAGTAGACTTTAAGAAGTTGAGAATGAATTGGGTGGTTATGAGAATGAATCATGCACAAAGAAAAGGAACAAGCTAAATATAGAAACGAAATTGATAAACAAGAAAAGAAGCTTGTAGAGAAGAAAAATAAAATTGATAAACATATTTCAGGTACTCGGGTATACCCGAAACCCAAAAAACTTACCCTTTACTCGACCCGAAAAAAAATCGGGTTACCCAAATACCCGAAAAAATTAACCCGATACCCGAAAAAAATTAGGCGGGTAATTCGGGTAACGAGTATTTTCGACAGGGCTAGCACTAGCATGAATGGTGGTTTCAGAAAACCCAAATGCTATAATGACGGTTGATTTTTGGATAAAAGTTGGAAACGTTTTCCATGATTTAATGATTGTTGAAGTCGTAGTTTTGATCAAATATGTTTGAAGTTTCGCGATATGCGAGTTAAATGTCTTGAGTTCGATGAAATTTATAACTTTGTTATAAACAACGTACACTAAGACAAGTCGTTTGTTGTGACCATGCATTAATATGAAGACACAAAACACATACCGTTTAAACACGTCAAAGCTTGGCTAAAATTGAGGGAGTGCCTAAAATCCAGCCATTAAAAAAAATAAGGTTTAAAAAACTAGTTTAAGTTGTTTGTGGTTGCATTTTTGTGTTTTTTTTGTGTTTTATTTTAAGTTGTGTGTTTTAAATTAATGTAACATGGTATTTTAATTTAATGAAAAACAGTGTGTGTGTGTATATATATATATATATATATATATATATATATATATATATATATATATGTGTGTGTGT